CCATCAACACCTCCCACTTGGTCATGTTCTGCTCGTCGAAGTTGATCTTCATACCCGGCGGTGTGTCAGCCATGCACTCGCCATACTCCTGTGGCCCCGTTAGTATGGTTACTTCTGCGTCTGCCTCGATATAATAGCTTGCCTTCATGATACGCTTCTTCGCTCCGGTGCTCATATTTGCGGTTGGTTGAGAGAGTTCTTTGTAGCTTAGACTGTCTCGTGCTAGAGACTCTGGTACTGCACCGGGGTGAGCGGTGTGGTTAAGTAGCCAGGTAGAAGCTGGTGCACAGGTAGAGCAAGCGCGGCAAATAGCAATAGACTGCAAGACCGTGACTGCGCTCGTGGGTAAGCGGGTGCAGTGCAGTGGCAGGTGATTGACGTGAAAAGAGGGTTGTAGATGTGGGGAAAGTTGCCTATGGATGACGAGGGACCTCGATTCCTTAGTCAAAGCTCCGCACGCGGCCCGGTAGACGATCGCCTGCACACGTTCTGGTAGCAGGATCACGCTAGCATTCACACGTTAAGAGTTCCATCTCTGTCTCTCTTCAAAAGATGTCTGCGACACACGTTGTGACTCCACTTGACTTTCGAGCAACGTGACGACGTCATACCATCACCAAGGAACACTCGTCTCGGTTCTGGTGCCTCATTCGCGAGTGCCGAACATCAAGGTGCACCCCCGTCCTGATATCTTATCAAGCCGCCCCGGTCCATACCGCACGTATATCTCCGAGACTGCACATCCTCGCGATCCGTCTAGAACACGTGGTTTTGACCGCTTGACAAGCTATCGTGTTTCAGCTTGGGCCTGACAGCAACGACAGCTTACGACAGGCACGCAGGCAGGCTTTCACGCTTTCACGCATTTGCACGCTCCATCATAGCGCATAAGCGCTGCATTATACTTCGGAGCTCCGAACTTACTTCTAGGTTCTGTCTCCGTCGGAGGACGTCTTCCTAAACTTATGCGCTATGTAGGGCTGCAAGACTGGAAATTGGGCTCATCTCATAGGCACACTCACTATTATTGTGAGTCACCAACTGCCCAACACCCAGATCACGTTACATCGCGACAGAGACGCGACGCGCACACCTGACGGCCCGACCAAAACGGCTCTGAATTCGAACACCGCTTCCCTGCCCATGCTAACTTCTTTCTGCGCTCCATATTGACGTCGCTAGGTCCAACGTCATACCGCTTGCCGTTGATGCTCGCTTATCGTCACTCCTCGAGCCAGAAATCCATCGTCTTCCATGTTTAGGAAAGCCTCGAATGAGCACTCACAACAGTCAATGATGGCGCCTCGCAGCCTGATATCTACTGCAGCTCGTATGCAGCAATTGGCGAATAGCGATAACAATCTGCGTGACACAGCCCAGCGTGCCAGCGCTAGTTGTCCCAGGCGACAGGGGCGGCGACTTGGCATCGCCAGTATTTAACAGGCCGCAACCCCACAATCTTCAGCCTTTACGCCTCACGACAAGCTTGAGTTCGACAACCAAAGCGTGCTTTATCTTCACCACCAGTGTTGGTAGACTCGCTTAAGCTCTTCGGATTTTCAACGACTTTTCTCTCCCGAAAGGTTTGCGAAATCTGAGAGTTTCCGGAGCTCCATTTCTCTTACTTGCTGCTGCGTCACTAACCTGTCCACTCTTTACGAGAAACTTCGTCGCTCGCTACTTCGATTCCGCTCTTCGGTCAACATGTTCGGCAAACGCTCTTTCGCTAGCTCGAAGGAGAAAGACCGCTCAGGCAAGATTACCAAACAGCCGAAGAGATCGTTCCGCGATGCGTCCAAGCAGAAGGTGATGGTCGAGAAGCTGGATGCGCGCAAGGACAGTCCAATGATGGACGGTGGGTCACCATCGCTCACCTCTGCCATTGTGACAGTGATCGTTGGTTCCGACCAGCGACTGTTCGCTGCGCACGAAGACGTCCTTTGCCATTCCCCGTACTTTGCTGAACTGCTGCGGGGCCAGTTCTTCGAATCCGCTAATCGCCGCATCGATCTGCCCACGGAGGAACCTGAGATTTTCAGCTGCATCCTCGAGTACCTGTACAAAGGTGACTACTACCCGCGCCTTGTCCACGACAAGCGACGCCAAACCTGGATGCTCGAAGGTGCAGTTGCCTCACCCGACCCTAACAAAACCGGCGACCGCGCAGCCGCCGTCGAGCCAACCTTTTTCCACTCCGGCGTAGGAGACGTCATTCTGCGCGACACAGCCGTGTACTGCGCAGCCGATAGCTACGGCCTCGAAGAGCTCAAGAAGCTCTCTCTGCGCAAGCAGGGCCTGCAGAGCGGGATCGAGGTCGGAACCATCCTGCGCAGCGCACGCTACGCGTACGAGAACACGCCGGACAGCGACTCGCGGCTGCGCGCTCATTACCTCGCTCTGATTATCCGCAGTCGGAAAACTTTCAAGCGCAGTGGCACCATGCAGATGGAGATGGAGATGGGGGGAAAATTGTTCTTTGACCTGTTCGTGGCTATGTGCAATCATGTCGATGATCTTGTGGACGCGAGGTACGCCTTGCGCATCTTTTCTGTTCAACTCCTGCAAACTGTTCTTCCCCGTGATGTTAACCTTGTACTGACATGTCCCAGCGCCAGCGCCCGCGGCACTCCCAGGACCATCTAAGACCTCTGATTCGCACACCCACTTACCCGTCACCGTAACACCCGCAAACAAACACACACTCGCATACAACACCGGAGTACACACCAAGTTGCCAAACCATACTCCGCTCGCACACCCCAAATTGCCGACCCGCGACAAAACGTGAAAACAACCACAAAAACACGGAGTAATACCCATTCTCCCTGCTTTCCCTCGGCGTCCCGTTGTATCATCCCAACTCATCTTTATCTCATCTTGCTCGCTCTCTTTAACTAGTGGAGTTTGCTCACCCCCATCGCGTCCCCCCTTGGCCCTTAATCCCAACGAACAAACAACATCAACGAACCTATTTCCCCCTTCTCTGCTTGCAGAGAGGAGTACTCGACGACGACGAAACTGCGTTTCCTTTGTTTTGTGCTATTTGGGAATCTAGGCTTGTTGTACGAACATCTAAAGGGAAATAAGAAGGGGACATTCATTTTCAGGACGCATTGGTGCTGCGTGGATTAGGAAGACATCGTGCTGGAGGACACCGCTCTCTGGTGGAGACGTGTCCGATGCGGTGACTGATTGGTCCGGACCGCTTGGAATGGAAGACTTACTGTGGAGGATTTGGAGCGGTGGTGGTAATGAGAAATTAACTTTGCCGCCGCTATATTTCGTCTTGATGTTGATGTGATGTGTGATATCTCCTCTTTCCCTTCGCCTTTCACGACTACACAGATACTACTTTGGCCTCATGCTGATGTAGACTGCAAATTGGTTTAGTTTCTCCACAGTATGAGGTTCTCTATCTTTGGAACGAACTAGGGTAAACATCGCAATGCCATCCGCTCAAGGTCGCCGTTTCCCCACGTGGCGGGCCCTGCATACACCATCCCGCTGCTGCCCCACCGAGGGGCAGTTGGGTAGCTCTGACGTTTGGAAGCTATACAACACAATACAGCTCCAGCAATCTTCACTAACACACCAAATCCCAACTCTTTCTCCTCACAACAGAAGCCGTCGAGGAAGCCGACAAACACAACCAACATGGCCGACGTAAACCTCAAAGAAGTCCACGACTTCATGATCACCATCGCCAAACAAGCCGGTTCGCGCATCACCTCCGCAACACCCACAACACAAGCCTCAGGCTCAAAGAAGAACTGTACGTTGCGCTAGTCATGCCATAATCCAATCAATCTACAACTAAATCTCTTATACTAACTCTCTTCACTTTGTAGCTGTCGACCTAGTAACCGAAACCGACCGCGCAGTCGAAGCCCTCATCTCTACCTCTCTCTCCACGAAATACCCAGACTACGCGTTCATGGGCGAAGAAACCTACAAGCCAGGCGACACCCTCTCCGCCACACCCACCTTCATATGCGACCCCATCGACGGAACCACAAACTTTGTCCACCGCTACCCATACGTCAGCATCTCGTTGGGACTCGCCATAAACCGGGAGCCTGTCGTAGGCGTTGTATACAACCCGTTTACACAAACGCTGTACTCGGCGATCAAAGGACAGGGTGCATTCCTGAACGAGACGACAAGATTGCCGTTGAGCGAACCGACGAAATTGGATGGCCTAAGCAGCTGTCTCGTCGCCGTAGAATGGGGCAGTGATAGAAGCGGCAACGACTTCAAAGTCAAATCCGAGACCTTCAAGAAACTCGCTGCTACGAAAGAGAACGGCGGGGGTATGGTGCACGGATTACGGTCGTTTGGTTCCGCAGCCCTCAATCTGTGTGGCGTGGCGAGTGGCGGGTTGGATGTTTACTGGGAGGCGGGTTGTTGGGCGTGGGATGTTTGTGCCGGATGGGTTATTCTGAAAGAAGCTGGGGGTATTATGGTGGATGCGAATCCGGGGAATTGGGAACCGAAGGTGGAGGGGCAGAGGTATATGGCGGTGAGAGGGGGCGAGGGGCAGAAGGAGATTGTGGAGGAGTTTTGGGGGTTGGTGGAGGGGGCTTTTGAGGTTGGGATGTGAGGATCCAGGGCCTGGGGTCAGGTAGACTTTAGTGTCCCCTTTTTCTTGCTTTCGACAGGTGTACGAATGCCCAGTTCGAGGTAACTTGGTCATTCGCAAAATAAAGACCGCTCGGTATAGAAAGCAATACTCATGATTAGCGGCATAGCGATGGGAAGAGCAGGTGCATTTTGATCCTTTGCATTCAGTAAGAAAGCATATACTACAACAGCAGTATACAACCCAAGACTCCATTCCATCCTATCCGGACAGAAAGATAGCGACCGTAGCCAACCAGCCAATCCACCCCCCAGCCCAAAACACCAAACACCGCCCTCCATCCCATATATACAGCCCAGTCCAGTCCACCCTCTCCTCATTCGCCCATCTCCCAACCCCCCATCATATTCCCTCCCGAGCCTTAAACTCGGTATCCAAGCCACCCAATAGTATTCGAATAAACACTCAAGTTGTCCCTCCAACTCGCCTTGTCAACACCATCAACCGTAACCATCCACTCACTGCCCACCTCACTCAGCGCAAAAGCCTGGACACTCGAGTCTCCCTCAATACTCAAAATCCTATTCTGGCATATCCTCGCCCCACCACTCGCATCCGCGCTCGAACAACTAGTGCTGTAATTGCGGAAGAAAGAATACAAACCCCCACCGTACACAAGCACGTTCTTTGAGTTCAACACCCGCAGACCGTAAGCGGAGGCGCCAGAGGGATATACGGGATCGTTGTAGGCGGCGGACGTGCCGTAGGGTTGGTTGGAAGCGTCGGGCGTGGGCATGTAGTATGGTGTTTCAGTCTGGATAAAGCCAGCGAAGATGTTAGACGCGCCGTTGAATTGGTACTGGTAGTTTGCGTGGTGTTCGACGCCGTTGGCCCAGAGCCACACGTTGGATGCCTCGACGTGCAGGCCGCGACCCGTCAGGATGGTGATTTGCGTGCTGCGCGCATCGTCCATGTCGTGGTCGGCCGTCCAGAACCAGTTGTTCTCGAAGTACGCGCCGTTGGCGCCCTTGGTGACGTGTACGTTTGTGTGGGCGGCCATGCATTCGGCTTTTACGCTGCCGACGGTGGAGGGGCATTGGGCGACTTGTAGGTTTGTGCCTTTGGCGCCACCGATGCGCGTGTGCACGTCCCAGAGGCCGGAGCCGCGCGAGGTGTTGAGGTTGTATTGGATTACGATGGCTCCTGGGGTGGCGCCTTGGGTTTGCACAATCATGTCGGACCATTCGATGCTGCCGCTCTCGCCGGGCTTGCCGATTTGCATGATGGGAACGGGGGCGTCTTTGTTGGAGAAGACGGAGCCGGAGCCCATGATTGAGGGGAAGGTCTCGCCGACCATGCGGGAGCCCGGGGGCACGTAGATCGTGTTGGTCACTCTGTAGACGCCGTGTTCGAAGAAGAGGACCTGTTGGGAAGTGATTAGTCTCGGAGTATGAGATGGTGAGATCAAGGAGACATACCTTGTTCGAGGAAGCAGCCCTGTTGATGGCGTTCTGAACAGCCTGGGTATCATCGGTGCGACCATCACCTGTAGCTCCACTGCCGCGAGCGCTGATGAAGTCTCCAGAGCTGAGGGTCTCGTACTGCGGCTTCGACTTGGCGTAGTACTTGTTGCCATCCAAAAGACCTCCTGGACGAGCAACAGGGGTGAAGGTTCCCTGGAACTTCTCCGGACCGTTGGCATTGGGCGCGTACTTGTTACCCTGACCCCAAGCCTGGATAGTGAATGTGCCACCCTGAAGAACAGTAGCGCCGTTTCCTACGACGGCGTTGGGTACATTGTTGAGCTTGATGTTCTCCAACATGAGTTGTCCGGCACCAGTAGGGACGCTGTTACGCGTCCAGGCCATATCGACAAACTTCTGGCAGTTGGTGATCTCAGAGTCGATGATGACAACAGAGCCGACCTCAAGCTTATTAGCCGAGCCACCGTTGCTCATAGAGAAAGCAGTGCCGCAGTCACTAATCGTAAGACCAGCGTACAACCAGCCCCAATCCCAGATCTGCGAGATACCAGTAACGGCCTTGGAGATCTTGACGTTGCGCATGGTGAACTGCTGGTTTCCAATGTTCATGCCGTACAAGCCGCCCTCGATGTCGAGGTCAGCCATGTGGCCACCAGATCCGTTCTCGACGAAGATACCAGCGTGGACTGAGTTTGATGCCTGTGTCATGCGAATCTTGACGTTCTGGATGGTCGTGGCTTGCGAAGCGGGCCAGTGAATACCCTGGAAGCCGCTGGTTGGTGCAACAGCAGTGCCGTCGATGATCAAGTTGCGGATTTGCCTCAGGAAGATGTTGGTTGATGTCCAGCCGGGTGCACCGTTGTTCTGGTAAGGACTAGCATCGATGAGAGCAATAGCCTGGAGGGTAGGAGCAGCCTTCAAGACAGGAAGACCTCGGGGGTTGCCGATGAGCTGAGTCATGTAGTAGAAGATGATGGGCTTGCCAATAAGGTACGTTCCAGAAGGGATGTAGACAACGGCCGGGGAATCAGTGGCCGAGTCGCACACGCCGGGACCGCAACGGTTGCCGTCGGCAATGGCACGGTTGATTGCATCGGAATCGTCGGTAACACCGTCACCTATGGGGATGTTAGACTTGTACTGAAACACAAAAAGCAAAGTAGCTTACCCTTTGCTCCGTACTCCTTGACGTTGCGGAAAACCTTGTAAGCGCCGTTGGCGTTGAAGGCGGCTCTTCCGTTACCGGAGAGGTCGTTCAGCCAGTAGCCATCCGTGATAGCAGCAACTCCCTGGATGCTGCTGATGTTCGAGGTAGGCTCGGTATCATTCACTACTATCTGTCTGGAAAAGCGTACTAGGGTATATCAGTAACGAAGGTTTTCAGGAGAAATGATCTCTGCTTACCGATAGCAGCACCCTGAATGCCGACTGCACTGAGGCAGGCGAGCAAGAAGGACAAATGCATAGCCGTGAGTATATGCCAGAAGATAATGGTATGTTCAGTGAGAACACAAGGAGGAGGAGTACAAAGGAGTGTAGACTGTAGTAGCGAAGAGAAGTCTCAGAAGGGGAGACCATGATGCCTATTTAATCTCCCCGTTTGTTCACTGCTACACGTCGTGGTAGTGCGTGATAGGAGAAAGAACCATACACCCACGCGATCATTTGGAGATCTGCCCCCCGTGAAGCCTGCCGACTGGCTAGCTAGCGACATCCGGTGATGAGACACTCACCGTCTACCACTTAGGAGGTCATAAGGCCTTGTCGAAGACTAACCCACTAGGCGGCTACCCCCGTTGCCGTTTGAAGGGTTACATAGCTTACTTCGGTCCCGGCTTCGAGATGTCTTAGCTTGAGTAACATAGTCTGGGGAAAGGGAGGGTGTAAGTATGCGCCCTTCCTTTTCAAGCCACATCTCCGAAGGGTCTTTTGTGTTGTTTGGTAAGTTGAACAGCTTGTCCTATTCTCGTGAGCAACGTGATTTACTTTACTTCCACCAGTTGCGGTCGCTATCTGAACATGAATAGCTGCGGATGACGATGTTGATCCATCGTGCTGCCCAACACATGCTGTGGGTGAGCTACAAGCAGAAGTCGTGAGAAGACTCAGGGGATATGCACCTAACCCCGATGCAGCGTTGGTCACCGGGACGGCCCTACGCATATTATTTCCGTGAAGCGCTGTCCAGTGACTGTGCAAACACCGACCAAACCTTGGAAGCATGTGACGGACGCTAGTGCCAAGACCAGAGCGTTGAAGCCGGCAATTGGCTCCGCGGTCATGAAGCTTCAAGACCCCAGATTTGCGCCGTCAACAGTAGTTCGCCACGAAGCCTAAATGTGGGGTAGTCTTAGGTAGAAATGCCATGCGTCGCACTGCATGAGTCTGCCCTATGATCTTGCCCTGCAGCATAAGCCTCAAGCGCGCGTGCTCATGTGTTAGTCTCTTAGACGTCAGAGCACTCACTTCACACCCATAGCTGTAATGCGGTGAATGCAGGGAGTCTTGTGAGGCTTCCGCGAGACAAGCAACGTGAAGGCGAGTCCGACACCTTTCTTTTGACCTGCCTGATTGGAACAGACTTGTTTTGAAACGGCGCCAGTCAAAGATCGCAAATGACGGCGGCGAAGTCAGGCGCGTGAACGCTGGCCACGGAGTGTAGTGTCGTTTGCAGACTCGGGCATGCCTAGGTCTGGGCATCGTGGAGCTGTTGCTGGTTAGAGGTCGGCCGAACGCCATGTTTGGAGACAATTTCCTAGGTGTAAGCTTTGAGATTGCAACATCGCAAGCGCCTCGTCGAATACCCCAGATGCACAGGAGCCGGGCCTAGGCGACGGTCATGCACAGGGTAGATCATGTGGGTCAGGGTAGATAGATTAAAAGACTCTGGCTATGACCAGTCATGTGGCTAGAATCGACTTACACTTTCGGGCTATCTGCCACTAAGAGCAGGCGCCGACCCAGTAGCTTCGCACATGGCAAAATCTGAGCATGAAGTCGATGAAAAAGTAATAGAATGTGCAATACAGGAGGTCAAGCGAATGTACGCTTGTAACTTCGGTCAAAGTCGGACAGTCCATTCGTGGTGGAGCAGGTGAATAGTTCAAGCGATACTTTACACGCCTGCCTAAGAGGGTATTATGAACGAAACCATGAAAGTCGTAGTCTGCAATCGTAGTGTACCAGCATTCAGTATTGCAAAAGGGGTTGAGATGCGCGTTGAGGTGCGCGACAGCTCGCCGTCTCTCAGACTTTGCGCAGAGTCGCGGCAGTTGTGTTGCGCGATCCCGTGCGACCAAACTCCCGACAAGCAGCGAATATGACAGATGGCCACGCGAGCGGTGCGACTTTGCAGATGAGATATTGTATTCATGTACAAGCGTAGTACGCGCTGTGGTGGCCCATGTACTGTCGAGGTTGGTATCCGAATGCCCAGACATGTCGACGGGTGCCTCTAGCATATTCCGTGGCACATAGTAGTACTGTGGGGTCACTGACTATTCCCGTGCAGAGCGCATGATCATCTAGAGGTATCATAGCTTGGTCGAAAGTCTGATGAACATGCCCTCGGCGATGGTGTATATCGTACCGTTGCCGTCTTCGAGAGTCGCGCGAGCGTATAGTTTGCGACCGCCATCTTCTATTCGTTCGATCTTGGCTGTGCAGAGAAGCGTCTGCAGGGTTGGTGCCGGCTTCTTGTAGGTAGTGTTGAGATCTGTTTGTGCTCAGCTGGTGTTGCGGTGTTGATGCATGGTATGGACGAACAGGCAGTGACGTAGCTTGCGACAGGCGCACGGCGACCGTCCTTACTTGCCCTTTGCGCCTTTTTCTCCATGACCGTCCCGATCAAGACGCCGGACATCTCGTCAAGCAACGTTGCTTGGAAGCCGCCGTGTGCGATGCGTGGGTAGCCTTGTAGCCCATCGCCCAGCTCCACAATGGTTCTGATCTCTTTGTACGCGATGTCGCCTGTTTCCTCATTTTTCGGACGATACGTAAGAAGCGTTGTTATTGTGCGATCAGTGCCAAGCGTTCCTGCAAAGAAGGAGTCTTCTCCTGATGGCTTTATTGACCGCGAGCTGGTCTCCATCGGTGTCCAGTTGGGGTCGTTAATCAATGCAGCGGCCCAGGGAACAGACAACAGGTGAGAATATTTCGCGTCCATGATGGCGCATTGATAGTGTTTGCAGTGTGAATCGCGCGTGCTGCCTTCGCGTTCATTGAGGACATAATTGCGGAGCTTGCGGGACTCTGGGGTAGCAAAGATGCCGAGGTGTAACGGCAGGACGGGTTGTGGGGAGCTTGGAGCTCCGCCGCTCAGTAAGCCATCAGCACAACCTCATTCGTTCATGACCACAACAGGCGTCAACACTTCGAAGATCCAACTCCAAGGTCTGCGATCAATGGGTCCTAAACAGTTTTCGAGTTGAACAATAATTTGCAGGCATCCAAAACGCGCAAAAGCATCACGAAGATCTTCATGTGACAACGCGCCTCACAATGCAAGACGTCATGCCCACGCGCTAGACACTCCATCAAGCATTCCCACCACCAAAGCGCGAACTATCTCTCAATGATGTAGCTGCGTAGCTGCCGAGGTACAGGTAAGGTCTAGATGTCATAACCAGCCTCTTTCCCCAGATTTCGTACTCCGCGGCCAAACACCCATCAATATCATCAAACATCATTGTGACTTCATACACTCCAATCTACCATACATCCCATATACATAAACGGAAAGAAGACGCGACAATGGTCGACACATCGCATTCCTCCTCCGTCCGCGGCACGCTATCCAACCCAAAGACCAAAGAAGCCATGAACTCCGATAAACCAACTCCCCGTCTAGGCGACCATGTCAGTCTGAAACCCGAAAACGACGATAGCAAGACTTTCCCTTCGAACGACGCTCCCTCCTCTACCACCACCTTCTCCTCCTCCACCTCATCCCCGCCATCCTCAGAAACCTCTTCCATCGGCGCACCCACACCCTCAGCCCCCTACGTCAAATCCGGCACGTCAGCCGGCGGCGCCGACAAGAAGGCTATTGGCAACGGTGGCAGTGCAGATAGCAAGGGAGAGTCAAAGGAAGATCTGCCGCACAGTAAGAAAGTACGAGGGACGCTTGCGAACGACGATGGAAACAAGGTGAACAAGACGCAGCTGGGTGATCCGGCGAGTTTGAAGGCGGAGACGAGTGGTACGAAGGATATGGGGAGGCAGACGGAGAGGGAGGGACGGGATAAGGGGGGGAAGAGTAAATTGTAGGGGGTTTGATGGGAAGATGGGGGGTGGGATGGAGGTGTGGCATGGCATGTTATGTGTGTATGACTGCGATAGGGTACGGCAAGGTGGATTTGTGACATGCATTGATCCGATAGACAGGATCGGATCGATGCATGTCACAATTCCGCCTTGCCGTGCTCTAGCCCTATGCAAGCTCGTTGACATCGTTACTGGGTATCTCTCTAATCTAGTCTATAGATGGGTGTATAGAAGCTCGAGGAGGATGATGGTCGGAGTATATAGACTAGCTCAAACCATCATCATCCTCATGCTTCTATGCACCCATCCATAAACACCTCATCAAAACACTTCAACCCCTCCCATCTCACTTTCCAGCCTCCGTCCTCTGCGGCGCCCACCCCTTAAGCCAACTCCTCGCCCTATCCAAATCCCCACCTTCAGCCTCCATAGCAGCAACACACCACTCCAACCCATACCCGCCCTTCCCTTCGATCCCCTTCTCAGCAGCCACCATCTCAGCCAACGTCCTGCACTTCTGCGTTCTCTCGTCCACGCAAAAGTGCAACGGGGTCTCATACCCCCGCCCATCCATGCCCTGCAGGAAAGGCTTAACAAGCGGAATAGCATCTTTAGTCGGCACGGATTTATCTTCCTGGCCTAGGTTCTTCCGACCAGTACGGCAGTACTCATTCTTACACCACGCTTTCCCGCAGCCGGTGAGTAGCTGGGAGAGGTACCGACGCTCGATACGGCGACGCAGTGCTTTGCCTTCTGGGTCGTGGAGCGAGACGTATAGAGGTCCGAAACAGACGCTACAGAGGCCGATCTCGTTGCCGGGGCCTTGGCCCTTGCGCGTCCCGGCTCGGGTGTCGCCGGCTTTGTTTGCGCCGTCTTGGGTGCGACCGCAGTTTACGTTGCGGCACAGGCGTGGTGGGGGGCGGGAGAGGCGCTCGAGATCGTGGTGCCGGAGATGTGTGTCCATGTCGCGGAAGCGGACGATTTTGTTGCAGAGGTGGCATTCGGTTGTTCGGCCACCGTCTGCTAGTTCGTGGGGTGTGAGACCTGAGAGGAGGAGTTCGGGGGATTGGTCGTTGGGGTCGCCTTCTTGCGGGACTTGGAGGTGGCAGAAGCGACAGAGGATCAGCTTGCCCGGGCACACCGTTGTTTTGTGATGTGAGAGCATGGGCATTGATGGGAATTCCATGTCGCATGTTGAGC